TTGTTCCAAATAAGAACTTAACTGGAACTTGAACAAGAATCTTTACAGGAACGTATACGCTAACTCCTATAGCACCTTGATATAGAAGCTTTGTTATTCCTGTATCCCTAATTCGTTTTATCATTCCAAGTTCACCAAGTTCCAACCAATTTAAGCACTGAGCTCCTAATGGAACAAACTTTTACGCACCAATTTGTCTCAATGGACAAACCTACAAAACAATGATTAATAACTTGCACAAAGCTAGAAGAGAAGTTAGTTTGTCATGATATACATTATAAACATCCAAACAACTTCTCTTTTCATCCATTCACAAATAACCTTCATAAGATTAGGGAATTGAATTTCAATTGGAATTTGTGAAGGATTAATACATACCAAAAGAACATGACCAATATTTACAGAGAGATGTATAGGCAACTTACACACTTATTCATGTTGTCGATTCACCTACTACAAACCTCTTATAAAGGCTTTCTAGTGAGAGGAATTTGCACATAATTGCTTATATACAAACAACCAAAGTTCATCATTATTAATAAGTTGTCTCCACTCACTTAGCCTGCAAAATCAGTCATCTTTTGGCTTTGGTTACCCAATTTATATTGGGTACTTTCATGTTAGTAATAGACATTAATAATCCATAATTAAAACAACTACGGTTAAACCAACTATCTTTACTAACAATAAACATCATGTGTCTACATAATAAATATTCAGAAAAACACATACACATGATAAGGTCATTCTTTGGAAAATATTCAAAATATACGTTCATTACCTTGCCCAAAGAATTAAGTTTCCATACAGGGATAATCCAGGTTCCAAGAGACCAAATATGCATAATTCTACATAATACGTTCCTTGAACTATTTCCAGTAAACCGATTCTTTAAAAATAAATCAATTTGTAAATCTGACAAATACTTTTCACTCTATAAATCAAATTTGAGGTTACACAAAATTGATTTGCAAACTTTCAAAACAAAATCCAAAATTTAACTAGAAATACTACAAGGAACTTGTACACATAATGTCATGCATATAATCAAGACTTCAAAGACGAGACACTTACCTCAAAGATGTTCATCTTTGAATCACATCTGCTTCACAAGCAGACTTTGGTCTTCACGTGGTATTCGGAACGTTCTAGGGTTGAGTTCCATTCACTGCATTCCTTGTAGATATCCATCCTAGCCTGGAACTTGCTCCTCGGGGTTACCCGGTTTATCAAGAGCACCTGCTCTGATACCAATTGTTATTTTAGATGAACTACTACAAGAGGGGGGGTGAATGGTAGTAGGTTCCAATCGCGAAACTTATGCGGAAATTAAAAACAAAACGTAAAGGAACTTAAAGCACAAAGCAAGTTTTACGAGGAAACCATCCAGTGCCTAACTGGAAGTAAAACCTCGGCCCTATTGGGACTTATAAACAAATTCCACTATAATAGGCAACTCTCCTAGTACAACCTATTACACAGACCTTTGCTTTGCAAGTTCCGCCACGGACACTTGACTCTATGATAGGACACTTCCTACCAGACCTAAGACACTTCTCAGGACCCTTTTTCTCCCTTTACCCAGGAAACTTCCTAGGTGACCCAAGACACTTCTCAGGTTCCTTTCACTCACTGTGCACTCACAGCTACCACTCGAATTTTACCAGATTTCAAACTCATACACAAGCGTGAATTTAAGAGAATTCACAATCTCACCCCAAAATACAAAACACTCAAAACCCTTTTTCCCATTACAAGATCTCATCGAATATCCCTAAATACATATCTATGAATAAAGAGATAAAACTAATATGTTGAACACTCAAGATCTGTCTGGAACTCACTAGACGTACTGTAACCAAAAACCTGATAGGAACTTTGACCAGGAGGACTGACTTAGCTTCGTGATGAAGGATAAAACCATTAAGCACGACCACTACACTTCGTCAGCCTCAACTTTGAATGAATGCATATGAGCATATTTATAGTACACTCGAATTATTCATTTCATCTTGAAAAAGATAGATTTTCTGAAAAGATAAGTTTAAAAGATATTTTCTAAAAATCAGTTTTCCGAAAATATATCTTTTTGTTAAGAATAAAAACTGTCAATAATAATAAGATAAACTTAGCATAAAATCAGATTTTATTCAAAACTTATCTTTTTGTTTAAAATACTTTTTAAACAATCTTATCTTTTTCCAAAAGGGATTTATTAGAAGATAAATATCTTTATTCAGTAAAACCAAATCCCTAAAAGATATGCACGTATAAGGTAAATATATATATCATTAAAACCGACTTTTAACGACGTTCATACTTAAGTTCCTATTAGGTTCCTGAACTCTGACAGTCTCTGAGTTCCTGACAAGTCAGTTACTCTAATTTCATTGACTGTTTGGAATTCACCTTGGTTCTATATAGACTTGTTCCAGACCGACTTTTATGTCCAACATACTTACATGAATCCTAGAGCAATATACTTCTATTTCTCTGTCTTCATGTTGCTTCTCTGAAACTCTTGTTCTGGAATCCTGTAGTCTTGATATATTCTGGATCTTAGGGTTTTCCCCAGCATTACACCGAAACCAGGTCGTTACAACCCGTTTTGAAGTTCCTGTTAAGAAACTTCTGGAAGTTCCATTTCTGGAACTCTTCTTCTAAATTTACTTGTATCCTCATGGATCCTCTAAAGTTCCTCTGTTTCAATTCCTACTTCAGCCCTCAACGCTTACTGAACCTGCAAACATCACAACACTAGAAAATCCTTATTAAATGGAAGTTTGCTCAATTCTTAACATCATCATCAAAACCTCATAAGGATCAACAAGTTGTCCCTTTTTGATGATGACGAACTGAGCAAACTTCTGAGAATAACAAAGTAAAACAGAAGGTTAGTTTTTTATTTATAAAAACAATAAAGAAAACTAAACTAAATTAAAAGACTCCTACACATACATAACCTATATATGTATAGGATACTTACCTTATGAAGCTAACATATGTAAACACATGTTTACATAGTTACCTTCATGGTCCCTTAGCCATCATCATGCTTATCAACCATAACACTTATCGTTGTTCTTGTTCCTCTATTGCTTATCCTATATTGCTCAAGTTCCTTACATATATACCTGTCATTACTCAGGTTCCTTGTATCCTGTTCCAAGCATAATTTGCTTTTTCTATGCACAACTTAACATACACGTTAGATAGATAATCATCATTAGTTTATAATCATCAAAACCTAATTGCTCAACAATGTACATGGACAATAATAATGTAAACGGAATTTGATCTCATATCAACCTGCTATCGGTTTCTAAACCTTATATCAGATATTACGGAGATAGTGGAATGCAATACTGTATGAAATAATATAATATACGAATGAAGTAAGTATTGATTAGCTAGTAGCCCTAATACCACGTGAATTTAATAACGTGCTTGCGTATTCAGGTCAAGGGAAGATAGCTGTAGAGCCAATATTTTCAATGGTCATTATACACTGATTTTATATAATAATTAATACATACCTAAATACCTTACTCCATGTATGATAATCTAATCATATCTTATACGTAGTTGACGAAAATTTACTTAGTTACGTACCCCATACTAAAGATAACATTACTATGATACATTTTTATCATTTTATATACACGGACTATGTTATAGTAATAATACTATCATGTTGATATGGTATCGCCTTAATAGAATTGACAGATTAGATGGTTGTCGTAGTAATTAATTTTTATATTTTTCAAAACATAACTGCGTGCCTCCAATAATTAATTTGATAGTAAAAGTACGTAGCCCATAACATATTTAAACTTACACTACGTACGATTTAATTTGTATGGTTAAACCAATGAAGTACAGTGAATGACTTGGAAGATAAATCAGCCACGAACATGAATTGGCAAAGCGTTGACTAGTACAGGTCAATATGATGTGAATCAAAGAAATTTGAGGTGTAACGTGTATGGATTTATTGAGATTGATAGTTATTATTCAAATGAAAAGGAGATTATCAGGTACTAATATTACACATTCTTTCAACCTTACATTATATTCTATATGATATTATGGTCCTTAAGTTTCTCACTTTCTCAGCAATTATATTAATATATATTATTTAAATTGAAGAATAATTAATTAAGTACATTTTATAATTCTATCATCAAAGTTGCGTGGCCATATCATCGCGCCCATTTTTAACGGTAACAAATAAGATTTTTTTATTGGTAATCCATATACGAGTACATAAGACCACTTTTCAAATTTGAAAAAATATCCCTCAAAGTATACTAATTTTGTGTTTGACTGTTGGTACGATGCCATGAGTTCATTAAGTATACGTAGTATTATCCTTGTATGAATATGAAAGTATCTTAGCTTCTTTTTTGAAAGACTAACCCACCTTATTGTAATACTGTGGCCTGTGGGAGTGTCCCATAGACAAATTGAGAACTCTATTTTTGTCCCTTCATGTAATCATGTATGTGCAAGTTGTAGGCAGAAAATCAATTATGTTTAGCTGAATTTTCAATATTTCTCCTCTTTTTAATGGCCCCCAAAACCAAAACTTTAATTTCTTTAATGCTTTCATGTTCATCAATTCATACACACTCATTTATTATTATTACATGTAACCCTTTTTCCCACTTTCATCCTTTTCTAATTTGTCACTTTCTCTGTCTCAATTTACTTGCTCCATAATCATTTACACAGAGTGTTATTATAAAAACTAGTTTGATCAAGAGAAAAGTATAGAGATAATTTTTCATACAAAAAAAAAAAAATAGTGAAACAATTTAAGTAAATTGAGACGCGTCAAATAGAAAAATTGGAAAAAAAAAATATTGAGATAAGAAATTATATATTTTTTTCAACAAAGGCGAGAAATTATATATATATTCACTCGTGTCTTTTTTTTTTGTTTTCCCTAAAATATCCTTTTGTTAATACTCCCTAGAAAACAAGATATGTTCATCCACAACTAGAATATATAGCTCTCTTCAACTTTTTTTTACCAATTAATAAAAAGTCTACATAACCCACCTATATTCTTCCCTAATTGTTGGCATTTTATCTTAATTTATTACTAGCATTTAAATAATAGCTGTCAAGTATTTTCCAGTCCAACTAACCTCACCTTATATAAAATCTATCCCTTACACATTCTAGTGAGACTTGCAATTCCTAAAGTCTTTTTTCTCCTCTCCAAATTTTGTGCTACTACATACATTTCCTCCCATGGGTTCCTTAGAACTCCAAACCCACCAACCCGACCTAGAGAAACCCAAACCCGACCTGAACGACGACGATATCTCCCCAATCGAGGAGGTACGTCTAACCGTCACGAACACCGATGACCCAAACCTACCCGTATGGACCTTCCGGATGTGGTTCTTGGGCCTACTTTCTTGTGGGCTACTTTCATTTCTTAACCAATTCTTTTCTTATAGGACTGAACCCCTTATTATAACACAAATCACGGTCCAAGTAGCCACCCTACCCATTGGTCATCTAATGGCTCGTATCCTACCCCAGACCCAGTTTCATATCCCCGGGTTCGGACCCCGGTCATTTTCACTAAACCCGGGTCCGTTTAACGTGAAAGAACATGTGTTAATAACCATATTTGCTAATGCTGGTAGTGCTTTTGGTAATGGATCAGCTTATGCTGTTGGTATTGTCAATATTATTAAGGCGTTTTATAAGCGAAATATCTCATTTTTGGCTGCTTGGATCCTCATTATTACCACTCAGGTATGTGTTAATCCTTCATTATTTTTATTTTTTATACTCGTACAGTTGTCGTGTCATATACATATACCTATATAAATAAATAAGATTATCATTAATGATTCACGAAACTAACCGTGACAATATTACTGTCACGTGTAATATGTTACTATACATAAGTTTTGGTAAATCAAAGTTGTTATTATAATTATAATTCTTTCAAATTTGTAATAATAATATATCATGTATTCATATGGATTAGAGAAATGAACCTTCACATGTGCATGAGCAGTAGTGAACAATTATATATAGAGGTGGCTAGTCGGTGTCTCAGTGAGCTCATAAAAATAAAGTCAATTGATGTTATTAATGTTTTCATTTTACCTTTTTAATAAGTATACTTTATGCACGAAGTATGTGAAAGTGAATAAAAGCTACGAGTAAAAAATTCTTCTAAATCTAGAAAGATTAACTTGTCCAATTCGATAAAGGTGTGCAAAAGAAAAGTCTACTAAAAGTGGAAAGTAGCTTCAAAAAAAACAAGATAAAACTTCTTGGAGGGTTTGGGGAAGGAGTGAATTGGTAGGAATCTACTTAAGAAATTAGAAGTTAAATACATCTTTTTCTTAATTAATTAGGTTATATGACTAATAGAGTACTTTATTTTAGTACATGCCACTTTGTTTTGTCTTAATTAATATATGTTACACATATCATGCCTGTTTTTGTAATTATATTTGTCTTACATTATATTGTACTACGTATATATCATGCATGTTATTATAATTATTGAATTTGAATTATTTATTGTACTCTGTATTACATAATAATATCAGATGAGCGAATATAAAAGAGGAGTTTTAAGTGAAGTACGGTGACATGGAAAAGTATTGGCGCATAGCACCTATGTGCTTAGAAAGTGTATAGGATGGCACTGGTTTTCTAGTGGTACAATTCAAAGTACAAAACGTACGTACCATTTTGATTAAATGCACCAATGTGATTTCAGTGGTACATTTTCGGAGTATTAAATGTACCACTAGCACAGTTAAGTGGAATATTCAAGTTTTCTAATGCCTGATAAATTACGCTTCTACTCTCCTATGTACTTCATTTGTCAATAGGTGTTATGCGCTGATATACACTCCGGTGACATGACTTTTGTCACTAGTATGTACTTGATTTTGTTTAGACTGTGACTATTGAATAATCTATATTGACATACAAGTAATGTAGAAGTATAAAATTCTTCGAAATTAAGTCCGGATTTCAAGAATTATTCTATTTTGCTAAACAAAAAGTCATGTATGAATACAAGTGAATGGTCAATCAGTTGTACAATTATGAATTATACACTCATACTTAATGAACTTATCAATTAGTGAATTATTGGTTATTATAATTAAAGAAGCTTGATTGTACTATACGTTCAAATAATCAAATGTATGTTGGAACATGATAGGATTAAAATATTAGTAATTTAAAATTATTATGCCAAATTAATCAATTACATTCCTCTTCAGGTATTGGGTTACGGTTGGGCAGGTTTAATGAGGAAGTACGTAGTGGAGCCTTCTCATATGTGGTGGCCAAACACTCTTGTCCAAGTCTCTCTTTTCAGGCAAGTGGTATAATTATCGTTTTTTTATACTTATATATTAAAAAATGTTCATTTCTCTTATTAGTATTATTGATGGCCAATCGAAGACAACCAATACTATAAATACAATTGTATTGTGTAAATTAGAAGGAACAGGGAACTTGTATAAAAAGGAGGTGAGAAATGGTAAGCCAACTTGATAAGAAGGTGGTTGAGTAATTTCTTTCCTCCTATTTTATACTTGTCTCATAATTATCTTGGTGAGAAATGGTTCACAAAGCATTTGATAAAATGAATTAATTACTAGAATATTGAATTAACTTTTTAATTAACCTATAATTTAATGTTGGAAAAGAAGAGTAAAAAGATAAGTCCATTTACAAAAATGCCTTTGTTTAGTTTTATGGACTATCTCATATTGAGTAAATTCTCTAACCTAGGTGATGGCGACCTTGACATAAATGTATATAGAATCATCAAACTCTTCTTAAAAGTAGTACTAGAAGGAACCATAACATCAGAAAATTCAATATATTACATCAAAGTAACATCGACAATACACAAGACTTCATTTATGGAGATTTTAGAACGAAAATGCACTAAAAGGGGCATTCATGAGATGGTGAGACCATGACCTCAATAATTGATGTACCTAAAATTAGTACCATCCATTCTATTTATAGTAGAAATAAAGACGTATGAGAGTTGCAATGGTTACAATTTTATACAAAGTACAGGTTTTACACCATATAAAAATTGGAATATTGGTTACCTCATCGCTTTCCATCTATATGATTATGGCCAGGCATCATCGATTACGACCTCTTGCGATAGGCAACAAAATAGAGATTAGTTTTATACTAGTATTATGCCATGTTCGCTTCAACTGATATCTAAAATATAGTAAATTGCAAAGTGATTGAAACTTAATAAAACATACGAAGTAATTACATTTATTGACACATTTTTCCTCAAAGTTGTGCGTTAAAATATAGAAATATCATACTCCCTCCATCCCTTACTGATAGTCCCTTTTAGTCAAATTTTAGTCCCAAAATATTCACCCTATTTGCTTTTTCCAACAACCATTAATATTAATTTTTTTTTACCAAAATTCCCTCTAATTTGCAACAATATTTGTGCAAATTTAGCTTCCCCATATAAATTTTACATTTCCATATACTTTTATTACTTTCTCTCTGTATTTTTTTACATACCCCATGTAAATTTACTAATGTCTTTTACTACTTATTTAAGTTTTCTTAATGCCGTGAAATTTCACCAAAATAGACTATCAATAAGAGATGGAGGGAGTATAAAAATTGCAATAAACCCCATCTAAAAGTGTGGAGAAAATCACATTGAAATGAGGGATAAAATAGAGAAGAGGACATTCAAATAATTTTAGGTGATAAAACAAAGACAAAATATACAGGCAGGCGAAGGACTGCAACAGCAGAAGACGGTGGGAAAAGATGATAAATTGATAATAGTAACAAATTAGCAACTTGTACACTGGTTACCAAAATTGGCTGCTATTGCTTTATCGCTTCTAGTAATTCTAGGCCATGGTCCATGAAATATCACTCTCATATTTGGTCCACTTTCATGGCTTCGTGAGAAGCTTATCATTCAATCCAACACGTAATTCAAATGATCTCCAATCGCAACTTAAACATTTATGTACCACAATAAATAAAAGTGTTACTCCGTAAAAACTAACCTGACTTGAAACAACCTGAGCTAGCTCAAAAATGACCAATTCACAATATATTAATATAATCCCGCATAAGTGCATAACTCAAATCTAAAATAACCCGACTCAACTAAACATTTATGTACCACAATAAATAAAAGTGTTACTCCGTAAAAACTAACTTGACTTGAAACAACCTGTGCTAGCTCAAAAATGACCAATCCAAAATATATTGATATAATCCCGCATAACTCAAATCCAAAATGACCCGACTCAACTAAATTCGACTCTTGATCATGACTTGAATTGATATCTCTAAGTCCACAATTTCTACATTTGAAAATTTTCAAAGAAAAAATAAACATACACAACCATTACCTTCCTTTGAGTGAACGATGAGGTGATACGCTCTGAATTTTATCCAGATAATTTATAGTACTCCTATCAAAAAAGTGAAATGAAGGACTTCGTTTTATCAAAAAAGACAATCTAATTTGCAACCTTCATGTTTGACTGAAACTCATATCCTTGTAGCTGAGTTCCGTTTAACCGACAAATTGAAGTTCTCATTTTATTTGATTGGAAACTTGGAAAGGTAATCCTCGGCTTACTCCTATCAGCATAACAAGATAAGAAATAAAATATCAAGTTGTCAAAATGCAAATTAATGAATCGACATCAACCTACAATGGCTGCATGCCAAACTGATGACAATTGACCCACAAAGTTGTAGTAAAAGCAAAACGTTTATAGTGTATAGACGTTAATGGTATAGTGCACAGTTCTTCCAATAATTGTTATTGATAGAAGTGGACAATAATTTAAGGTTCATGTCAAGGTCTAGCTGACGGCTATGACCCAAAGCCACTTACCAAATGTTCAAAACTGAAGAAAAATAATTAAATGTTTTCACATGGACATGTGAGCAACTGTTTACTGTTGTTAATATGTAAGCATAAGCCACTAACCTTGCGAAGCTTACGTACGGGTCAGGAGGAAGTATGAGTGGATATCCGTGATTCCGAGACTATTTAATCAAGAAATCCCAAAATGCTTCTGTATATACCCAATCAACTCAGACATGAAGTATGTATCAGTGTCGTGATCCCGGTTCCAAATATATGTAATGGAAGGTTGCTTTGTGATTTGTGATGCACCAGCTGCTAAAGAAACGAAGCAATCTACACCATATTGCAGTAAGATTAGCGCTTAATCACACATCATCATAAGCAGCAAATATGCACCCAAACAATGTGATCAGTTTATCTTTCTTTTACCAAGTAAAACAAAGTGTTAACAATCTAAGCATAAAATTAATCCAAAATTCCAAATAACCAACTCTACTTCTGAAACAACAAAATATTTCAACTGCAGCTGGTCAATCAGCAAAGTAAGTTTGACCTGAATTTAAGGACGTCTATCCTAACATCAGTACTGGTTTTTCAATTCTATGCAGGGCCTTGCATGAAAAGGATGACAAAGATGAAAGGCGCACATCAAGGGCAAAGTTCTTCCTGATTGCACTAACATGCAGCTTCTTGTGGTATGCAGTCCCAGGTTACTTGTTCTCAACTCTCACAAGCATATCATGGGTCTGCTGGGTCTTCTCCAGATCTGTTACAGCCCAACAGCTAGGCTCGGGCATGAAAGGCCTTGGTCTTGGAGCCATAACACTAGACTGGTCTGCTGTAGCCTCCTTTTTACTAAGCCCCCTCATAACCCCATTCTTCGCCATTGCAAATGTGTGCGTAGGTTATGTTCTGATAATATATATCTTCATGCCCATAGCATACTGGGGACTGGACTTGTATAGTGCTCGCAAGTTTCCCATTTTCTCCTCACATTTATTCACAGCTCAAGGTCAAATATATAATATATCAGCAATAGTCAATGACCAATTTGAGCTAGATCAGACACAATATGCAAAGCAAGGACAGATCCATATGAGCACGTTTTTCGCTCTTACTTATGGCTTTGGCTTCGCAACCATAGCTGCCACTCTTACTCATGTGGGTTTCTTCCACGGAAGGTAATGTTATTACTTTACAGTTGTGAATACTTATTTTTTTTTTTTAACAGAATTGTTCTAATAATTAAATTTCTCCTAATAACACAAACAAGACATGCTGCATTAAAATTGATATATAGTTCAGAGTGGGATCAACTTTGTGATTATAAGTGGAATCAAGCAATCATAATTTTGTCATGAAAAAGCCAGCTTATTGAGTCCTGCTCGTTAGACTTATGGAACTCCAGGCTTATAAATCTCGTCACTTTTAAACGGAAAATTGCAGAGTAAGATTAAATATTGGGAGAAAGGAATCTTAAAAGAACAATTAGAATATAAACGGAGGGAGTTTGAATTTGGTCCTTATGATTGAGAACTGGTCCGCTTACAATTTATACTAGACCAACTAAGAACTACTCCTAAAAAGTTTTCTTCCCCCTAGTATAAGAATGACAACAGTACTGGAATGTCTAATCTGACTTGTGGTAAATTGTTCGAACAAACAGGGAGATCTATGAAAGGTATCAAGCATCATACAAAAGCAAGGAGGATATTCACACGAAACTAATGAAAAACTATAAAGACATACCAGCATGGTGGTTCTACGCTCTTCTTGGGCTGACAATAACAATTTCTTTTCTGCTCTCTATCTTCTTGAAAGACCAAGTTCAAATTCCTTGGTGGGCTCTCCTCTTTGCTTGTGGCATTGCATTCATATTCACTCTTCCCATCAGCATCATAACTGCCACAACAAACGTGGTAAGTGGTAACATACTCTAGTTTGTCGATAGTTCCCTACTCCCTACAATAGAAAAATATTTACTCCATATTTCTGTTTAATTTTAAGCATCATAATCATTGATTATTTCCTGCATGTCAACGTAGGTAATGAGTTGGGTCTACATTTTAAGTCAGTCATTGCAAGACTTTGCAATTCACTAAACCAAGCTCATAAGTTACCAAACCCAAAAGATAATTATATTTTTGTCCTAAACAGGTCATAAGACCTTGACATGAACCTTGTGTTTGAGACATTTACAATGACCCAGCTTTTTTGGACATATAATCTAATCAGAAAACATAAGGTCAAAGTGATTCACTGATGCTTAAATTCTGAAATTCTTCTTTCATAAGACATTTACAATGACATGAACCTTGTGTTTGAGACATTTACAATGACCCAGCTTTTTTGGACATATAATCTAATCAGAAAACATAAGGTCAAAGTGATTCACTGATGCTTAAATTCTGAAATTCTTCTTTCATAAGAAACCACCTTTGTTGGACTTCAAAAAAGATGAAACTGCATAAGAAAACAATTTAGTAACAAACTACTTGGAAATGTAAAAAAGAACCAGATACAATCCAGTAGCCAGTTGGCTCGGGAAGTTGGGATGGTAAGCTTCTTTCATATTCCTTTGTCTTGAAATTAATATCACGCTAACTTTAAATGATCTCCAAGGCCAAACTTTGACCATTGTTGTGGGTAAATTATATACTATTATTAGTAAACTTTATAAAAACATAATATTGTAAAATTCATATCAGAATAAACCTAACTACATTATTTCCATATCATTATAGCATATATTGCAATTAAAAAAAAAAATTTAAAAATAAAAAATAAAAAAAAAATAAAAAAAAAAAAACAAGTCAAAGTCTAAGATCAGAACTTCTATGAGAATATCAAGAAGTTTCCTGAAATTTATCCACACAACCACTTATACAACCTGTCATTTTTATGCCATCTGCAGACACCAGGACTGAACATAATAACAGAGTATGTTATGGGCCTCATATTACCAGGAAAACCAATTGCCAACGTATGCTTCAAAGTTTATGGTTATATGAGCATGTCGCAAGCTGTTTCTTTCCTCAGTGATTTCAAGCTAGGCCACTACATGAAGATCCCACCAAGATCAATGTTTTTGGTTCAGGTATACTTCTCACCAAGTTAGTAACATGGACTCTACAGCCATATATCCCACACTAAAGTCAGACTACAGCTACTCAAGCATTTTCAGAATCATTTACAACTAATTTCTGCTTTATTTATCGATAACATCATATCTTACTACAGTAAACCTCTTTATATGACCTGCCAGTTCATAGGAACCATTTTTGCTGGTACCATCAACATTTCAGTAGCATGGTGGTTGCTCAACTCAATTCACAATATATGCGAGGACAGTCTGCTTCCAGCTGATAGCCCTTGGACTTGTCCTGGTGACCGTGTATTTTTTGATGCTTCTGTCATATGGGGCTTGGTTGGTCCTAGGAGAATTTTTGGAGATCTTGGAACTTACAAAGCCATGAACTGGTTCTTTGTAGGAGGGGCAATAGGACCAATAATAGTTTGGCTCTTTCACAAGGCATTCCCTGAAAAGTCATGGATACCACTAATTAACCTGCCTGTCCTTCTTGGGGCCACAGCCTATATGCCACCAGCAACAACGGTAAATTATAATGCCTGGATCATAGTTGGAACAATTTTCAACTTCTTTGTCTTCCGTTACAGAAAGCATTGGTGGCAGAGATACAATTACATTCTTTCAGCAGCTTTGGATGCTGGGGTTGCCTTCATGGGAGTTCTGTTATATTTCTCACTAGGTGTGGAAAACAAAAGCTTGAACTGGTGGGGTACAAATAGTGAGCACTGCAGTTTGGCAACATGTCCAACAGCTAAGGGCATGGTGGTTGATGGATGCCCTATTTACTAGTTCTTGTACATCTATAGCGTATTCTATATGACTTGTTTGATAGATTTTGTTTGACAGAATTTAGTGTATTAGCTTGAGATTGTGAATACTTATGACACAAAAAAAGGGGAAAGAACCCAAGTGCATTATAAACATTCACACCTCAATTTTAGACTTTAGCAACAGAGCAATATTACTTCAGTAAAGCTAATTTGAACGTAATCTAATTTGAACGTCTCTCTGAACATATTAAACAGATTTCTAAATTCTGGTGAAAGATAATTGAGAAAGTTATATGGAAATTTCCATTTGTTTAAGAAGCACAGATTCACAGATTATAACATCCCAAATAGAAGATGAGAAATAACTCCAATGGCAGTCAAACAGTCCAAGGCCATTAATAAATTTATTTTTTTGAGTAAATGCAAGTTGCCAACAAGTAAAAGAATCAAGGGGGGCAACCATTTCAGAGCCGAATGCAAGGTCCTTACACAAAACATAAGGTGAGAGTTTAATGAAGTTTGTTATTGTTAACAGAATTTCATTCAGTATATGATACAAATTGAGCACAAAATAGGTGCTCCAAGAAGCTAGGATGAGTACAGATCTTGACAATCATGAAACTGACAAACACTATTTCATATGTAGGTGGTGGGGAAGAATTTCCAAGTAACGAAAAGCATTGTAGCAAGAAAATCGCTGGTGACTGTAGATATATACTCCCTCCAAAATAGAAAATTCAATGTATCAAGATTCACGGCTCATAAATAAGAAGTGACATGACTTGACTAGAGCCATTTTCTTAACTCCCAAGAACTCAATCTAAGGAGGGAGAATTTTGGGATTATAATAGCAAGGTATTACTAATTTAAAAAAGGTGGCAGCTTCCTTGGACACCATGAAACAGTATTTGTGACAGATGTAACTATTAATTCCAGACAGAGGGGGGAATATTGCCAAATCTATATAATGACAACATTTACTTATAAATAAATGATGTAAGTAATACGATGTACTTACAATCAACTTGATAAATTGACAGAAGTACTTACAATCAACTTGATAAATTGACAGAGAGCCACTGGTTATATTCATCCATCCTTATGATGAAGGAACTAGAACTAGGCGAACCTCCACCACCATAGGCCTACAGGATAAAGGAGCAAAAAATGCTAATGAGTAATGACAGTGCATCTTCTCAAGCATCCAAAGAGAATGAGAAACTCAAATTAGGACAGAGAAAGTGAATAGAACACAATGATTAAAGTGACACCTTCGCAATCTCTGAGGTGTCTGTATTTCCATCCATACTTCTCAGACACATTTTCAAGTTCTTACGTTGCATAAAGACAACAGCTCCTACAGGCCTGGGTAAAAAGAAATTCCAGAAGATGACAATGAATAAGAGTAATTCCTGGGTACAGAGCAATAACTATATGAACAAGAAATTTCCAGTGCAGCTAACAATTAAGAGCAATATCGTATTTCTATATAAGATTCAAGAGCAAATAAAAAATGTCCTAATATAATTAAAAGCAGAGGAGTATTCTAATCAGAACAGTCAATTCTTATCCCCAAAATGCCAGTTAAATGAAGTTGAAATATGAAATTAAGTTTTCTTGCTCAAATCTCACAGCCAGTACCAAGCAAAGGCTGGCACTGCTCATTATGAAAGCCAATGATTCATCTCAAATATCCTCATATTACACACAAAAAGCAACTAGAAATGGTTACAGGCCGGCCCATGAACTATTTGTGTGTTTGACAAAAAAATTAATACTGCGTAAAAAAGTCAGAAATTTGTGGCTTTGGCTGCAACACATTTTAGAATATTTTCTAGAACTTTCTACAAGAAATTAGAACAAAACCTCTTATGGATTATTTTGAATATTGTAATTTTTTTAATGCTAAATTCTAACTTAGTAATTTACTATGCTAATGTAAATTTTGATTGTTGTAATTAAAATTTTTTATTTTAAGTATATAACAAACTAAATAGTAATCGAGAAATACAATTTTGATGAAGGCCTACGGGTCAAGCCGTGTCGTACCCCTTTCAAAACTTGGCCTGTGCATAGCATTATCGCATACACCTTTGCCCCTCATTGGCTCATGCCCATGCTATAATGTAAACATCTATTATAGGTTGCCAGTTTTACAAGTTTTGGATAAGTTACCTTAAGCCAGCTGCAGCACTCCTTAAACTAAGTTCTTTCCCAATTTCATCACTGAGGTCTGGATTGCTATCAGCTCTAACTCCCTGATAAATAAACATAAATAATGAAATTTATAAGGAGACATAAGCCAAAAAAAAAAAAGAGGGGGGGGGGGGCATGCTTTGGCCTTGAAACAATGATTATATCTTATGATGAATACGTTGAAATTTTTTTTACGATCACAACTTTCTTCTTTTTTTCTTTTTTTTTTTGGACAACACAGATTTAAAAGCATGCGATCTGTCCAAAACTTACCAGGCACTCCCCATAGAATCCTCGACCTAGCCGAAGTTTAAAAGCTTTTTTTAGAAATACTTTTGCAGCATCCTTTTGAGCTGAAATTTCAGAGTTTCCCTTGGTTAGCAGCTCTTTTACATTCATCTCCAATAGCTGCATTCAGGTGGTAATTAAGGAATTTTTCAAAAAAGGGAAATAAACACACACACACACACACACACACACACACACACACACACGATCAAATTCATATAATGTCACCAAGCACAATAATGCCACTCATTAATACATTCACTTATTAAGGTAATCAATGCTGTTTTGGAAGCCTTACAAATAACAAGCTTGATGTAAAATGCAAGAACTGACAGAAAAGATACCTTCAGGCAAAGAATGACTTTATTAATATTTACAAGAAAAAGAAGTGCATTTAAGTGTTTATTAGGAAGATCACCAAAGATTGACCCCGATAAAAATGCCACAGATATGATTTTATCAGTCTATTCCAAAAGGCCTTGCTAATAGCATATAAGAAGTATATTCAAAGGAAATCTATCATTCTTATCCAAACAAACAAAACCCAGAAAATGGCCAAGCACACCCAAATACAAAGAGACTTTCTCCCCTTATTTTTTCCAAGTTGCACATAGCTAATCTGCAACTGGCACATAGCAGAACAAAGTAGGCTGGTTTATTCCCATGAAGCCAAAGCTATCAAAACAAATCTTCCCGTAAGCATAGGAGGTCACTAAAGTATAGGCAGGTACACTATGCAAGGACAAAATCCAGACCATCTCACTAGAGCTTATGCCACCAAACAAATTCTCTTACTTCGATTACATAAAGATGCATATGCATTTCTTGTCAAGAAGTCAATGATTTTACATGTAAAATGTGACATAGGGTGTCCTTCCAAGTAGCAATTTGAATAAACTATACAAGGAGGTCTGGAGGAGCAATAAGCTAGGTCCATATAGTGCTAATAAATATGACTAATGTGTTGCCTTAACCAATTTTGACAGAAGCAACTACACCATAACGACTACATGGGCAGACAGGCGCAACTAATTCAGCTTTTTCCTCGAAGACAATTTCATAAAAAAGACTAAAAGAAACCCCATGATCAAAGATTAGACTTCAACTTTCCACTCCAGATTTTTTCCCTACTCACCTGGTCATACATGTGAGGATTGATGATGCAGTTCAGCTTTGACCTCCATTCTGAAATCCCAATATTGAAAGCCCGAACGTCAGGCAATCTCCATTGGCGTAAATCTCCATCTTCAAGATAGTTCAAGAGTAACTGTATACAACATTGATTATTTGAGTTTAGCAGACCATTAACCAGACCCTGCAAAAGGCAAAGTAAATGATGCTCTCTAATAGAATCAGTTATGCATATACGCATAACGAATATCTCAAGGAAACATGTTTATAGACTAACATTTCCATCAGGTGATTTTGTGCATTCAAGCTGGCCTGAAAAATATTCAAAAACAGCCCTTGAGCTACTCCTCCCAATATCAACATGAAACGTGAGTTTTCCAGAACAACCCTCAACAGAAGGGATCTTTTGAAGTGTTGATTTTCTATGATCGAAGCATATCACTCTGGTATCAAAAGTCAGGGAAAACAAAAGGTCAACCTCCCAATTTAAGAAGCCTATCTATACATAATAGAGCAGCCCAATGACAAAGGATTATTCATGAGCTTACTCGCATGCTGTCCTCCGCCAAAGCTCCACAGCAAATCCTCTTGGACCAATGAAGTCAAGGAAATAGCATGTCTTGAGTCCTTCATAACACAAATCTTCCACCCTGTTGTCACGGACATCAGGATTCATCATACACAAAGTTGGTGTAAGAGTAGTAAGACAGTACTTTAGTAAATCATTTGTTAATATTTATAAATATCTCGGATCTGATAAAAGTCTAATCCCAAAAAAAAAGGGAAGGAAACATAATCAGTTTTTCTTCGGTTACTATGCTGTTTTGTAGGTGGAAAGTAAATGGTGGTAATGGAAATAAATTTAAATGTAATTTAGCAAATATCATCCTAATGTACATGGTAATTAGTATTTAGTAATACAACCTCATCCCCCAACCTGTATTTTTCTTTGTAAATTTCCATTACTACCGAATACCATCTCCAAATGATAAATGGACGGTAATCAAAATTCATGAAGAAAAGGAGGTACTTCAGTTATGCATAATATTGAAAACTGAGGAAGTATGTTTGGTCACTCCGAATACAAAAAAAAATAACACGGTTATTATACTGTTAAGCAACAAACCAAATAGGCAGTGCATATGTCATATCCATATGTTCCAAATTTCATCACAATTGAGTCACTTTTGGCATCTACAATCGATGTTCCTTGGACTCTTCATTTTTAACTCAAAGTACCAATGTCGGCTCCTCAATGTTTTTTGGCCAAATGAAGTGTCCAAGTGTCCTACCAATGCTGGTGCTAGACACTCCAACAGTAGTAAGACCTAAGACTAAAACACTTGGACACTTCATTTTGGGCCAGAAAAACAATAATAATTGGACACTTGGCTACTTTGTGAAAAAAAATTATTGTTTTTCTGGCCCAAAATGAAGTGTCCAAGTGTTTTAGTCTTAGGTCTTACTACTGTTGGAGTGTCTAGCACCAGCACTGGTACACTTCATTTGGCCAAAAAACATTGAGGAGCCGACATTGGTACTTTGAGTTAAAATGAAGAGTCTAAGGAACATCGATTCTAGATGCCAAAAGTGAGTCAATTGTGATTGAAATTTGGAACATATGGATATGACATATGCACTGCCTATTTGGTTTGTTACTTAACAGTATAATAACCGTGTCCTTGGACATGAGCCATGCGCACCTGAGTCTGAGTAACACAGTAAAATAATAGCAGCAAAAAATGGCCTAAAACAAAGGTTGTGTAAAATTAAATTCAAATTAAAATTTTCATGATCTAATTTCTTATTTTCTCAACAGCTAAACAAGATTAACACAAAATTAAAATTACACCAAAAACAAATAAATACAGAGCAGAACACAATTTATCCAGTGATACACATTATTCTAGCACAACAATGAACAAATTCATTACTATTTACTCCTAATTAATCTAGGTCAAAATCAAAAATCAACGAACAAATGCTAAGCGACAATTGCTAATTACACAATACTTACCTTAATTAATTCAATCAAAGAAATTGTATAATTGTGACAATCAACAGCAAAGTAGCAACAAAAATTCAGTGAGAGAAAGACCTGAAAGGAGCGACGGAGGAAAACGGGAGAATAAGGCAAGGGCGACGAAGGTAAGAGTGGAAGAGGTGAGCAAAGAGTGCTGAATATGCGCCGGAAAATGAAGGATAGTTGTACAACGTTACTACCGGCGTTTTCTCTTCGGCGGCTTTTGCGATTGCTTCAAGCGTCGCGTCTGATCGTAGTTGCCGGAGATGCCAGAAATACGCCGGCGACGGTGTGGTTCTCCGGCAGTTACGGAGGAGAGAGATTGGCATTGTACGAAATTTATTTGTATTTTGTGTACACGATGCGCTTTAGAGCAACTGAACTAGTACTGGCGAGGGTTGAAACTTAGAATACACCGTAAAACTGTCATATTTTCATATCACGAAATTTCATACGGGGCCAGCCACAAAGAAAACATGATGTTCATTTACTCGGTAAGGAAAAGGACTCTAACCATACCTCATACTTTAAGAAAGCAGGGATCCTTCACTATTGGAAGTTGCAATCCCCTAAGTACGCGTATCATTACCTCGTAAAAAAATCTCCGCCAATAAAAGTTTCTTACTTTTTACTTTTTTTTATTTATTTTTTTTTATTGAAAGAAGTTTGTTACTATATCAATTTAGTGAATGATGTCCAACAATAATAATTTAAATAAAATTAAAAAACATAGTGGTAAACTGATAAAGAATAATAAATGTTGCATAAAATTGTAAAATACTATTTAGGATATTATCAAAAAGTATTATTATTGTTATTATTATTATTAAGTTAGAACCCGTGCGATGCACGTTTATAGAAAATCTATTTTTATAATTTGTATATTTTAAAAAAAAATGGATAAATATGATATAATACCTGTTTAATGTCGCCTAATACATATTTTAAGTCCATTAATTAGTGTGCTATTTACAATTGTTTCATTTTTTAAGGATAAATTGATATGTTGTAGTTGTAATGTAAAAGCTCATAATATTCAAATTTCAAGATTGTTAAATATGGTATCTCCAAAAAAAATAAAAACAAAATAAATACATCATCCTTGTATTTAGGCGGGAAAAAATATATTATGAGAGTGACATGTGAACAATGATGACATCAACAACGTTTTATTTTATTAATAGTTAATAGATTATTATTATTATTATTATTTTATTTTATTTTTATTATTTTTTTATTTATTATTATTATTATTATTATTATTATCAACGAGAATAACATGAATAATGAGATTAATTGTACTGTAATTTAGACATTGAGATTAATCTTATGGTATATCACAATATTTATTGTACTTTTTTGTTATTATGTGTTTTTTTACCTCTAATAATTCGTTTTGTATATTTTCTAATAAATAAATAGTAAAATATTATTGTAAAACCATACATAGCACGGGGTTTGAACTAGTTTCCTATTAAATCAAGATTAGCTTGGTTCTTGTCTAAATTATTTGAATATATATTTTTACTATAATAAGGTAAAACACAACATGGTATAATTGTTGGTGATAGGCTTATAGCTTATTGAGTTATGGGTGAATATAGTAATAAACATGATCTAAACTTAAAACACAAAGTTATAAGGTACTTTGTAATAATTTTGACTAAAAAAGATTAAAAAAAAAAAAGGCCAAATTCGTGAGATTAAAATCACTGCACACTTTAAAAGTTTCAGATTAAAACAACTTCAATAATAAGAAATGAACACATTATAATTTGTAAGTATGCCTTGTAAGATTAGACTAAGGGGCCGTTTGGTAAGCTATAATGGGGAAAGGGAATGGGAATGATTCCCTTTGTAAGTGTTTGTTTTTCATATTTTGTCATTCTCATTCTCCATTTTTATTTTTGGGTTTACCTAAAATTGTTCTAAAGTCATTCCTCAACCCCCTACCTTTTGCATTCCCTTTCCTTAGCCACCCCTCCACCACCACACACACACTAGCCACCACCCTTTTACCTTACCCCCACCACCCAACTGCCACCCAGTAGCACCTCCATCGCCATCGTCTTCCTTTCCCCGACCATTGTCGCCCACCGCCCAGCTACCCTTGCCGCACCTTACCTTCTTCTTCGCTGCCCAAAAACCCTTCCCCTACCCTCGAAAACCACCCACCTACCATCGATAGGGAGGATTTTCGTTGGTTTCGTGGGTGGGGTAGCCGAAAATCGACAAGGTTTTTGGGTAAGGTGGTCGGAAATCAAAAAGGGAGGGAAGGGGAGGGGTTTTGAAGGATGGTAGGTGGGTGGTCGGTAGTGGAAAGAGGACGGAGGGGGAATGAGAAAGGGGTTTCTAGGGTTTTTACAGGGAGGAGGAGGAAGAGGACGGTAGGGGAAGGTTTTGGGGGGAGGGTGGGGTTTTTGGGCGGCGAGGAACGGCGGGGATGGGTGGGGGAGGTGCGACTAGGGGCGGCGAGTGTGACTAGGTGGTGGCTGGGTGGTGGGTTGGCTGGGTGATGGCTGGAAATTTGAAGGAATGAGGTGTTTGTGTGGCTGTGTGGTGATGGTGGACTAGTGGTTCCATTCCTTTTATTTTTTTTAAAAACAAACAACATACTATTTGGAAAGGTTTTCCATTCCATTCTCTTTCTTTCCCTTTGTTCATTCCATTTCGATTACCCCCTGCGAACCAAACGACCCCTAAATTGATTATATTACACCTTGCAAGAGTAGACTAAATTTATGTGATGTATGAACTTACTAGTGCTCATCTCCTTGTAGAATTGTGTATATAACATATGGTATCAACTTGGCAGAGTCTTTTTCCTCAGATCTGTGTCGTGATTCCAACATGTATTAACTTGCTCAAACAATTCACCAATTATGAGTTAGATGATAGATTTCGGTTCCAAATTGCCCCAAACACTTACTTTACTTTATTAAGAGCCTAAATTAAATTTGCGCACTAGTCACAATTATAGAAGAAAAGATAGATGGGGAGAAAATAGTATAGAGTATCCACCTATTACAATAAAGATTTGAACGATCAACTAGCTTAGCTTAGTTGGTAAAGTAATAAGGATGATACTCAAGAGTCAAGACATGAGATCAAATTTCGTTTATATCATTGACCGTTATGGTTCAGTCACACAAAAACATTAACTTCGTAAAATTACTTGTAAACTCAAATGTTATAGTCAATTATGTCACCCGGTAGAAATAGTTAATACCAAAAGGATGGTAATTAATGGAGATTTTATACTAGAGATGATCAACATCGGCTCAGCCCGCTAGCTCGGCTTATTCTGGCTCGAAAATAAGGTGGGTTTGGGCAAGCTTAAAAATGTATTTTTTGTTAAAAGCCCGAACCCGGCCCGAAAAACCCGCTTTGGCTCGACAAGCCCACTACTTTTTTGCGAGTTTGGGCACGAGGTATCATGTTAAGGCCCAGTCCGACCCGATTTTTTGATCACCTCTATTTTACGCCATTCATGGAATCACTAGAAGAAAATTCTATGATTCCTAATGCTTCCTCTATTCCAATAATATTGCAATAAGGATGAAATTACGCATCCCAAAACATATTTTATATGTTAAATATCTATAATTGCATAAAAGTAAAAATTATAAAAAGTTGATATTGTGAAAGTATTTTATGAGACGAATCCAATAAAATCTCATATGACTATATTTTGTTTAATGTATAAATCATACGAAATGTTATATGGTTAAACAAGAGTGATGAATAATGCAAAAATCCCATTATTGTAATATTATTAGAATGGAGGAAGTATAACATACCATCTCTCTGTGGCACCTTAGTTGACAAGGACTTTAATACTAAAATATTGTATGGTATACCATAGTGTCTTGAGATATTTTTCTCTCTCTTCTTCCAATCCACGCTTCCCATATTTTTAATTTTTATTCTTCCTACCTTCCATGGTGTTTTACTGTTCTTGGGTTCTTCTTCATTCCCTTTGTTTTCTGCAAAATGTATCCTCATTTTACCCATTTTTCTGAGTCTATTCTTCAAAAAATTTCATGGGTAATTTTCTAATTCCTTAATGATCAATTTCTTTGCATTACATGCCATTGCACCGATTATTAATATTTTTTATTTTTATTTTTTAGGTTGAATTGATTATCAGATGTTTTTGTTCCAGGTTGCTTTAATCATGGTACGTTATACTTCATAATTTTTATACGAATATTGCATGATGTTGAAGATGATGATTATGTGTATTTTGTTGTGGTTATGAACTTTTGAATGGTTTTATTGCTAGCTTGTTGAATGTATTGTATATTTACTTTGGTTTTTGATTTAAACTATACCATCATCGCGACTATTAATTACACTATCAACGCGACTTTTAATTTCGTACACAAGGAGATTATCCGGTTTCAGATTTAAATTATACCATCATCGTGACTGTTAATTACACTATCAACGCGACTATTAATTTTGTACACTAGCAACACAACTATTAATTTCGTGCACAAGGAGATTATCTTATGGATTTTAGTTATATTTTTCTGGGTTAGATGCATGAATAATGCTGTTTTGTTCTCTTGATTTTGTTATTTAGATTTATTTTAATTAAATAATGCTGTTGATGGGTTTGTTTTCTAAAAAGATATATTTATTGATTTCCTCTCGTTGTCTTGGTCCGCTACTGCGGTTTTGTACAATGCTATCAGTTTTTCGTAATATTTTGGTCTAGGAAACAATGATTATCTGCTTTATCCTGCAAGTGGGTTATGCAAGTTGCTTCTATTGTCCCTTGAGCTCGGTATTATGCAGCTAATTACCCTCATTTAATATAATTATAATATTTCCTTTGAGCTTTGGCATACCATTACATGGCTGTCTTACTGTCTATATACTTTGTATTTGTTTGTTTTGTAATCTCAATGAAGTCATTTGATTGATCTGTCGCAAGTGGTGTGTCGTGAATTAGATTTTATTATTATTTAACTAATCGAGGAAGAAGTGTCCAAATGCTATTTGGTTTGCATTACCATTGAAGCTCTTACAATGTATTTGGTTAGCAGTCGTGGAGGCGTAGGGAATGAGAGGGGAGGAAAGATGAGAGAACTAGAGAAGAGAAAGGGAGGTGTGTGTGTGTGTGTGTGTGTTGGGGGGGGGGGTTCCCCATAGTGAAGGGATTGGGCATCTAAAAGGGAAAAGGAAATGAATCTCTCCAATTCCATTCCCCTCTCTTCTTCTATGTCGTATCCAAATAAAGGTAAAATAAGTAACTCATTTTCTCACCCCACGTTTTTCCCTATATAACCTTTTTACCCAAGCATAGTGAAAGGTATTGTAGCTTTAAACACTTGTAAATGAAAGAGGTTATTGAGGAAGAATGTCATCAAGCTCAAAAATATGGTTCACTAAGGGTAGGATGGTAAAGCTACAAGATATTTGGAAATTCCTTTTTCGAAAGCTTGCAAGTATTTAAGGTCCTCAGTTTCAAGGTAAATATAAGTTTAGGGGTTTTGTTTTAGCACAATATTTGATACGGTGGATCGGTGATTCATCTTTAAAACCCAAATTGGCCTTAGTTTAACTTCTTTCTTCCAAAGAGGAAATTTTGGGTTAGCATAATGAGATGTATTGGTGTGGGGTTATAAAGAAAGTTGGTTATTCAAAGTGCTCATATATCAAATTATACTTTCTGTAAGGAGCTCTAGTATACAAACAATTTTGTTCGTAAAGCCATTGTATATTTGTCTGTGTTGCATTCGTTCATTATGTCAGTGACTAACACAATATCTTAAAATCAGTGAGGGGGCATGGCCATCTGCCTGTTTTGGCCATTAGGTAGCTTCATGCCTTGGAAGTACTGTTGCATACATCATATTTCCAATATCCCACGTTTCCACTAGCAAAATGATCTGTGTTGGATAGTGGTCCAGTTTGCATACATCATATTTCCCAAGAATCTAAGGGAGTTGTATGCTTTGTAGAATTGTAGGCATTGACATATCCTGAATTAGATGTTTTGCATCTTTCCTGTTATGGAACTATGGGATTTTTCAGCAGTTTCAGTGTGATGTCCCTGAGTCAACCATGTTGTTAAGCCATAGGTAAAGCAAAATGGGTCTTCTTGGCGCAAGATTTTTTTTTTTGAGGCTCATTCATAAGAGATCCCAGGATAGTGCTGCTCATACACATTAAATTATTATTACTCACAACACAATTCCATAGCAGTTTTTCCTCCTGCTTGTCAAACCTTCCTGAATTTGTCCCTTATAAAATTCTTAGCAAACCAAGGTTTCCTGACAATACTGGAATAATTTATGTCTTCTTGTAATGTTTTTACTGGCTCTCATGTGGTCCATAGTTTCTAATCCATGAGTCTGATGCATTACATTAAAAAAGAAAAATTAAAAAAAGAAGTGAGGAACAACATTCTAGGAGTCTTAAATGGTACAAGTGAACCATGGCTTTGTGCTCTTTCTTAAATGAGAAGAAGCTTGGTTGGGTTTTGAACAAACTTAGCTGCTGCTGCTGGAATAGCAGGTTATTTCCCATATTTTTCCTGAATTTATGTAGCTTTTTCATGAAAACCATTACAAGTTATCTGTAGATGCAGTATCATTGACACAATTTATGTTTCTCTGCTCTTTGACTCATTAGTTTTCCTTTTTAACAAATCCAGCTGCTATGATTCTTGTTGCAGTTTCCTAGTATGAAACTTCTTTATTAAACAGTAGAGAACCATGCCAAGTTATTTTTAGTTTATATCATAAGACAATGATCTCATTGCAAAAGTATATACATTTTTGTTTGACGTTATCTAATTTAGATTATTGCAAAAAAGTACACTGCCTTTTGCTGCAATTAGAAGTAATTTTTTAAAATTGAAGCTTGCATCTTTCCTTCTTTGACGTCATGGAATCTAAGGTCTATACTTGTAATTTAGCAACAGGGAGTTATGGCTTAACAAATTGCAAAGCTTCTATCTAATTGAATTTTACAGGCTGAAGTGTAATTTTTCAATTGATCAATCCAATGATTCATAATCTTTATTGCACAAGAAAAGGCTCTACAGCTAAAAGCATTTGAATTCGTGAAACACACCATCATAAGAACAATTACATACCTTACAAAAAAAAAAAAATATTTAACAAGCACATCTACTGTTTTTTTTATTATGGAAAGCTATTGTTGGTCATTGGTCTGCTATACTAAATTATCGCTATGTACCAAATCATACCAAACCTGTAGATGTTGCTGAATGCTTTTTTCTCTATGATCACGTGCATCATCCCATTCAAGTAGAATTGTCTGTTGTAATGCTTGGCTTAGCATTTGGTGTGACACTGGACACATGTACAGTACTAGCTTTGCTAATGTAGTTGCAAGCTACAAACAAAACGTGCCTTATTAGTGTAAAATATATTTGCTCCTTGATTATTTTTATGAAATTCTGAAAAAATTTAGTTGATTGGAGAGTCAAAGTACCATAGTTTCATATTTTTTGCTGATGTTTCATCATTGTGCTGCTCTGGTTGGCTTAGCTGGAGATTGATTGCCGTGTTCATGTGAGAATCATTATTGACATTATATGACATGTGTGGGTGTTGCTGTATCTGATTCGTTTCCTCTGTTGTGCACACCTGAAATTCAGAATCTTTCTTAGACACACTAGCAAACCGAGGGTCATCAGAAATTATTTTTTTTTCTTACAGCTGATTTCATTTATTATATTAACGGTCTCTCTGCATAAAATAGCCTCTCTGTTTGATACCTGCTTTTGTAGCTCAGAATTTTGCTGTTTCACGAGATTTAATTGCTTATATAGCTCAATATTGTGTTGATGAATTATAGCTCCCTGCAACAAGTTCAACAACTTTCAGCACACTTTGTCATGTGCATAAATAAATAGAATAAAAATTAGTAGATATTGTTGATGAAGTGACCCTTTGGTTAAGTTCTCTGATCTCTTCAGATAGGAGTTGGTCCTGCAAACAATAGCAAAGTTTTTAATTGTTGTGTTTGCATTTAGGAATTGAAGTCGGGTAAAGGGTTGGAGGTTTTTATCTGATGGGTGTGGAACTTGTGCAGCAGATAAATTACAGACCTTTTTCATTCTTACACTTTTCAAGCTTGTTTCCAATTGAGTTTCCAAGTTCTGCATGTCTTTGATGCTTAAACCTGAAAGTTCTTGTCCCATAAGTTTCCTGCAACCATCAAACTGGATGCTAAGAGATAGAGGCGGAACTTTTTGCAAATCTGTTGAATATTGAAATTGTTTGCATGTCAAAATTTAAAATGTTACTGTAATATGTAGCCAAGTGTCTTTGTTGTCCTCTTGGAGTAGATAACTTTTACAGTTTCAATATGTGTCATTCCTGCCTGACTTGTGGTGGTTTTTAATCTATTGGAGGTTCATTGATTCTTTGAATTATACTAACTGGGTTTTCCAGAAAGCAACTGTCTTTCATCTTTATTAAAAAAATAAAAATAAATAGCAGATTCCTCTAGGATGCATATAGCTGTTTACCTTGTTATTTTGGTAGCCCGAATGTGTTTTATGACTATTCCCTTTTCTATATTTCTACCACTGTAGAACTTGTGGGTTTGTTTTTCTGTTTGTTTTTTTGTTTTTTTTATTTTATTTTATTTTTTTTTTTTTTATTTTTTTTTTGTAAGTACATTATGGCTGGCAAATTGATGCATTGATTAGCACATACACACTAGGTTATTTCCAACCAGTTGTTATTCTCTGATGTGAACTATTGTTTCCTGGAACAGATTTATTCTCTTGTGCTACTCATCCATCTTGGATTTGAAGACAAGCAATCATATTACTTAGGTACATGAATTATGATTTGAGCTACCTGTTTTCAGTATTGTGCGCTTGAATGATGTATGCTGCTAGTCATTGGGACCATCATATTGCTTGTGCAAGCTATATTTTACTTGTGTCTTTCTAGCTATTACCTTTCACTTGAAGATCAAAAGCTGAATCTTGAATCTTTGTTTTGAGGGATATAGGTAGTGTATCAGAACTAAAAGTCATGATCAGTTCCATCTGGGATTAGATCACGAATACTTGCAGTCATTTAGGTGATATCTTGTATAAAACAAGAATGATTTGACATGCCCATTTTTTAAATTTGAATTCTCGGAAGCAGTTGGGAATCTCCTACTATAATTTGATGCTCAATCCAAAATACAATATTTCTTGAAATTTCTGAATATCGTTGGTAAATGTTGATAGATGGTGTTTGAAATATTACTCTTTCTGTAATGCATACTTTTTCCCCCTTGCTTTTTTGTTTAGTTCTTTCTTTATATATTGTAATATTTGTAAAAGATGAATTAAAGTCATTGTAATGACAGCTGCAGGGGTATGATGCTGGAATCTGACAGAATTTTGGCAAACCACCATATAGAAATCACAGGTATGTTTGGTATCATAACATGGCTACTTGCTGACCAAAGTGTATAACAATTTTCAGGCTCTTGGTGATCCACTTGGAAAATATCATAGTATATTATTTGATAATCGTGCAGCCACATTTTTTTGAAGATAATTGCAACCACATATTTTAATATCGAGTTTAAGGTCAAAGTATTGTTTACCTGTGACTTTCTTGTAAATATTGCAGTTGTTGCCTCAAGTTTGCTGCCTCCCTTTGCCAAAACTGTAACCAGAAATCGGAGAAATGTTATTGTCATTTTTAATTTTACATACTTCATGCTGATACATGTAATGTTATATAATTATTTAGGTACCGAAATAGGGTTTGGGCATTACATGTAATGCTGAGATGGTAGTATTGGGGGCTCTTTTAGTTCAGACATCACATTTGGTAGCACGATAAATCTATACAAGGTGTCATGAAAGATAAAGAAGGAAAAAATCAGTCCTCTGTCATTGTCATTGTTATTTTTTTTTCCTTTTCTTATAATTATTTTGGTATTTCCTTAAAAAAATTGAGTCCTTTAGAAGTTTTACCTTTCACGTAAAAAGGTATTATTAGCCCTTTAGCATCTGATCACCTCATCCCTTTTTACCTATACCAATATTCCCATGTCTCTCCTCCCCCTCCCATTTGTGACCTCAACTCCATGTTTATTGCCTAGATTGATTATCAACCTCATCACTATCACCATCTGACAGGATAAATTCATCCAGCTTAGCTATGTAGTTGCCTAGGTATCTTGTTTTGCAGTGTATTGGTATAGTTTTTCAGATTGTGGTTAGCGGTGAATTTATGGTTAGTTTATTAGTCGCTGTTCTTTGTGTTTTCATTTTAAAATATGCATTTCCCTCGATAAGTGACTGCCGGAAATTTGAAATTTTCATATGCATATGACAAGCAAGAAATTTCTGAAGCTTCAGTTTTAAAAGTACAAGTTTAGGATATGTAATTTATGTACAATAATGTTAGAAAATATTTAGAACTAACTGCAGGGAATATATTAATAGGGAGTTTGAGCCCTCATTAAATTTTAAATTTGGAAGCATTACATTAAATTGCCACAGCACTTGCCACAATTGATAAGATGATGCCTTACGTAAGATGAGATAGACTTGGCTGGAATTTGGAAGAGGTGTGAGATGAGACAATTGCAATATTGGATCTGGATAATGGCTCTGTAGTCATGCTTTGTAAGGTCATTTAGCTTATTGGCACAATGAAAGAAGTCAAGACTCAAGAGCACAACTTTATTCTAACATAAATGAGTCAGGTTTTGTAAGAGCTCTTTTATGAAGCAAAAGGCAGGAAGTTCATATGCACTGTGCTTTTAGGAACAGTAGATGCTGGAACCTTGAAGTTTGTTAGGGTTCATGAATTGAGTGTGTAGGAAAAACTATTTTTGAGTTTAATGTAGAGGTATCAATTGTTGAGGTAGATGATTTGCCTGACATGCCCTATGGGTTGCAAATTTCATGTCAAGTTTAGCATCCTTATATGCTTTCTAGCTGAAAGAAAGAAAGACTTCTTCAAGATTGGATCAGATAGAGAAAATTGTTTGAGCAGAAAATAAAGGGTAGCCAAGGATGGAGATTTTATCACATAATCCTCTAGTTACTCATAAAGATCACCCCTACATCCTATCTAAAGTCATTCTATATATCTTATCATATATCTGTCTCACATAAGATTATAAGAGTTACTATTAAGGGTAAGAGTGATTGAATTCAAAAGTAGTGTAATGCACTCGCTTAATTGTTTGAGTGGCTTTTGTTGTTGGTAGATATTTAAGGAATAGTAAGAATAGTGGTGATTTATATGCCTATGATATGACTCATCTTATTTCTAAGAAAAGATTCTTACAGGAATAATTCATCTAATTTTTGCATTGATAATTACAGGCCTTTTATTAAGGGCCTTTACTACCTTATATTCCCCTTATTGGCATTGAATAGTCAAATTTTTTCGATTGACACTCAAAAACATATTCTAAATAGTGTTACCTACTAAACATTGTGCAACATAGTACTGCTTTTCATGTAAATATACCATAACACAAATAAGTTACTGCTGTTCTTGTAGCTTGGAAAAGAAGAATGATGATACGTTAGCTTTCATAAATGTGGAAGATGATTTCATGGGACATGTGTTGGAGCACTTAAAAAGAGAAAACCCGCAAGAATTTGAGGTTTAGGTACCCCTAGTCAAGGTTTCAAGTTCCCTTTTAACATCTTTTCATAGGAATTTTTTTTTCTTCTCTCTCTAAATCTGAGTGTCACATCCACCCATCAACCTTTTTCACTCTCCTTAGTCTTTGCGAATTTGTAGGGTGAGTTAATCATGGGACGGATTATAACGTGTATTGATTACAGATAATGATCAAAATCTGGTCTCAAAGACCTTAGAATGTGAAACAGGCTGGAGGGATTATTTGTTTTCTTGTACTTAGAATCTCTTGCCTAAAACAAATTGGCATCAACATACTATAGTGATAGAGTAGGGTGATTGATTAGGATGATCTATAGCCTACATCGGTAAAACCTGAACAAAGTGTGAGATGCTTAGAGTGGGGCTGATGTGTCTTTTAGAGTTTTAGTGGTTAATTGGAGTCCTTGACCAGTGGGAAGGAGACTGATCAAGAAGAAATAGTCATTGCAGCGCTATGCTTCAGTAGGCTTGTTTAGTATATAAGGGCAAAAAGTTTGTGTTTCCTTAGAGTGGAGCATTCTCTCACTTTGAAGAGGACAAAATTACCATTGTTTTATTTTGTATTTCATAATACCTGATCTCATGCTTATCTTTGTTGTCAAAATAAAAATGAAGATTTTTTTCCTTTTAGGACATGCTTGGATTGAGGGTAATAATTTAGGGGGTAGCATGAGGTGGTGATAAAGGAAAGATCTTACTGGTGGTATGATGAAGTGAGAGAGAGATGGGTAGATTATTACCCTCATAATAGGGGTAATAGTTGCCCACCATTATACTAGGGTAACAATTACCCCAAAATGAGGGTAATAGTTTCCCTTCCCTCCTTTATCATCACAGCATCACTATCTCATTTTTATTGTAGTCGCACCATCACTATCTCATTTTCCTTGTAATCATACCATCACTACCTCATTTTCTCGCACAACTACCAGATCCATCTTAGTTTGACTCTTATTACCCCTTAATGCTCTATCCCCATTTCAAGCATGCCTTTCGAGGAAGTAGTCTTCTTGTAAATGGGCTGGCACTGTTTGATCACTTGCATACGTGTTGTTTTCATGCTATTTCTGAGTTGTGGCCTTGTTGAATCCGGGCTACCTGGCACCCTGCTGCCAAAAAAGAAACGAACTATATTTTAATGAAATATTTACTGATTGTTGCAGGGCTTTGAGGCTCTTCTGAGTTGCAGGTATCTTCTGCAAATGAAACATAAGGCAATTAGTTTATAGGCTTGCTGGCAAGAGCTTTTGTGTTTCTGCTATAGCTACTTCATGCGAGAACTGCAGCTCATGCTTCGTAAGTTGCCACAGCCCCTGTTTTTATGACTTATGTGGTATTCTTGTAAGCGAGGATGGTGGTTGAATGAAGCTGCTTAGATGAAGAGGGAAAATAATAGATGTATTTATGGGTAGAACAAGATCTTTGGGGTCTGGATTTAAATTTTGTCAGAAATGGTAGGAAACACTGTTTTCTGGATACAATAAAATACTAAGCGGACACCATGATCTTGTCACGGTGTTATCTGTAAAACTACTAACTTTTTTTCGATAGATGTGAGAAAGGAAGTGGTTGAGAGGGAAGTACACATCTCTAACCTCTCATAACTGCGTACCTTAATCCCCTACTCTCAATGGCTCAATCTGTTTAATGCATCAGCATATGTTCTGTACGATTTCTACCCAGGGTGTAGAATATCAGGATGGCAAAAGATTTTCTGGTGGCTGGGTGGTTGTAGAATACTTCTTGGTTTCTTATATAGCTGGTCTCTAGATATAACAGAGTACTTCTTGGTTTTACTTGCTGCTTCATACCTTCATCAAGTGATACACTGGACAATGCCTGTACTTGCTTTCATTTTCTCCTCACTTTGAATGTGCTGTAACATCTGCATTTTGTTATAGCACCCTATATCTTTCTTTAATCTCCAGCCACTGATGCCTATGAGACTTGGAAAGAGGAAACCAGCATTTTGGAAGTTTTTCATGTAATGCAATCTTGTGGCATCTTTGAGGTAGTCAATATTTCAACTCTATTTTGGTGAGAGTAGTAGATCATCTTATGCTGGAGATTGGTTTAGAAATGTTTGGATTACTGTAAGACATAAATTAATATTTGGGATTTTTATTTCTTCCTTTTTTGGGGGTTATTTATGTCTGTTACTTGTAGGATTTCTTGGTTATGTTATGATAAAGTTTCTAAGTATTGGGGCTGTGCTATTTGATTCTTTAGGAGTTGTTACGAGAGGTGAGTAGCAGGGAAGGATTTTCTCCCAGCTCCTTTCCTCTCCAATTTTTCCTTCATCATCCCTGACCTTAAAAAAGGAGCTAAATACTAGCACGGGAGATAGAGGGAAGAGAAACTCCCTTGGTAACAAGATAAGTTGCACCTTTCCTCAACTTTCCTTTTTTTCCTAATAGGGTTGTTTTCAAAGATCACAAGCTCAGAACATGACAAAGGAAAGAATTGTAGCATTAAATTGATGAGGGTTGCTTTTTTTCAAGCTATTGGATTTGATGAGCCAAAATTCCAAGCTTTCTTAGTCCCTTTCCTGCATTAGGGAAAGACTTTTGCTCCAAAATGGTGGTAAGACAAGCCTAGGCTATGAACTTCTAGAGCTCTTGACTTCATTTACAGGCTGGTGCCAGAAATATTACTTCTCTATCAACCAATAGTCAATGTACTAAAAGAAGTCACATCATTTGAGCTGCTGCTCCTTTCCAAACCAATGGCAGAACCCAGATTATGAGATTGGGTATGCACTTTTACAAAAAGGATAAGTCTAGCCCATTTTGATAATCATGCATCTCTCTGTCAAAATTGTTCCTTCCTTTTACAGGTGTCACTTATGTTATTTTGTCGTCTTCTTTTTGTCTTTCTATATTTTCCTCTCCGTCTTGATGTTCATTCTATTCTTCAAGCTGTTTCCCCTGAATTATTTTGATTCACTGCCCTCTGCCCTCTCTGATAGACTTTGAAGTTGGTGTCAATTTTTGAGTTCTGTTACCACTGTTTACTGCAATTCTGATTATTATTTCATGGCCACTGACAAACTGATTTTCTAAGTAAACACTAGTGTATGTATTCCCTAGAACTAGAACCATAGTGGAATAGGCAAGTGTGCAAAAGAATTTGGGACGAGAGGAATTTTATCAGCCACAACAACATATTCCTTCTGCACCTTAGTTTTCACTACGGTATTGCACCCATGTCTCCTTTCCACACACTAGATTTTCTTCCATATTTAATGATTATTCAGCAAAGAATGGAAGGGGGACTCAGCAAATGCGCTTTTTAGTGGAGTCAGTTCATTGGGTATGTTTAATTTAGCTTAACTTGGTGTCTGATGTGCTGATGGCTTGATAGTAGAGTATGTGTCCCGTTTGGAATATTTGTTGTAGACTGGCTTTGTGGGAAGGTTACTATGGAGAATGACTATTATTCGTTTATAATTATGGGTAGCTTGGGAAATAAGAAGAGCATAAATTAGAGGAAAGAGAAGGTTAACGAACAAGAATTCTGTCAACTTGATATATTGAGGAAGGTAGAAAGAGAGAGGAGTAAATATATTAGATAGTTGTAACAATTTTGCTTTGCGTTGTTTTAGCTTGTTACTTTGTTGGTGTCACAGAGTGGGAACTGGGAAGGTCCAGCCACTCGAATGTCTGAAAATGGTCTTTAATTGATTATGTAGTTGCATCAATATTATGTACATTATCAACCTTCCTTGGTTACTCTTCTTCTCCTTGTTTAGTTGCATCTATCTTTTAATTGTGTAACCTACTGCATGCTTACAGAAAAAGAATAATTACAAAACTGTGTGCATGTTATTTCTGCACCGTCTTGCTATTGTTTACATGTGCAAACTAAGTCACAGAATATGGGATGATAAATGCAGGTCAAGCTTTTTTGTTAGAGCAAGATTGATCAAGTGATAAAATTTGCTTACCTTAAGTTCAGAAGCAGCAGATGACAGCTGGTGGTTGTTCTCTTCCTTCATTTTGTTGTATCTTTCAATCACCATTTTCATGCTGAAAGTAGCATTCAGAATATCAATGTCACTATTCCTACAGGGATGAATGTAGAGAAATTAATGTTCATGGTAATGCGGGTTTAATGACACTTTCAATTATATTCCTGCCATGACACCCCTCCCCTCTCTCTGAGTGAGATGCTAGCTAACAGGATGATCACTGAGGTCTAACAAGAAGAGGTAGCTACCCTATAGTAACTTCATTCAGAAACACGGAAAAGAAGGCGGAGCTGAAGAGCTTTCTGCTGCTGCACAAATTAATTCAAGGATACAAGGATGATAAACACTATGGTATAGGTAATGTCTTATGTTCTCTATATTCTTCCGTATTCAGCTCCCTAAAGTTTGAACTAAAATGTTTTTGTCAACGAATTTTATAGCTACATCAATGGACGATGGTTAAATCAGACTATGATGAATGTGAACGAAAGACTATAAGTACATGCTGAGCCACTGAAGAGCAACATGCTTAAGGAATGTGAAGGAGGCTCTTTTCTCTTGGCATGGAAGTAGGGGGTATTTACCTTTAAGAGATGTTTATGAATAAAAAGTATGGTTTTATTTGGACAACAGATTGGTGTATGATTTCATTAACTTATTAGCTGTTTTGACCAGTAGAATACATTATTACTTGTACAAAATTGCTAATAACAGCTATCAGCTTTCAGCAATCTGGTATGTCAAGAGAGTATGGACATATTTTGTTATTAAATGTTCTTCATCTGACCACTTATTAAAATTTTGTCTCCATTATTATGTCTATTTGTACTCGAGAGCATTATTGTATCGGTTTTGGATACATGCTTGAAAAGTTTTAAATTGTCTTTTTAATTATATACCGACAATGTGGTAAACCCTAACACGAATGAATACATACTTTTCTTGAAGGACTCCAAGCCTCGAACCCATAGCGCTCTCTCTCTCTCCAATCTTTTGACCTCCATGATTGGTAGTTCTAGGCACCTTTGTGGGAAACCCTAATCTTCACTGTTCATCAATTTTGTGTAAATTTTTTCTATTTATTGTATTTATAGTATTCTCTTCTATAATTTGAGTTCTTCACTCCCATCTATTGATTGTACTGTAGTGTTTAGAGATTTTTTTTTTTTGTTAGTAATCCTGACTTTTTTTATTGTCTCTTTTATGTATTTGCTCCTGAATTCAATTTAGGTATTACCTATGTTATAAGATTAATTTTCATCTGCCCAAAAAAAAGAAAAAAGAAAAAAAAGATTAATTTTCATCGAAAGAAGACTATTTTAGATCGTTGACTGCTTTGGAGCATGCTCAAGGCTCAAGTGTTCAAACTTACTTTTTTGCAAGTGCATTTTCTCTACTGTTTTTTTTTTATTTAAATATCATCTGAAATTTAATTGATTAAATTGGTTTCTAATGTAATTGAGTATACTTTCAATGAACTGATTTAGTTCTTATTTCAATTAATGAGAGTTGAACCAATATCTTCTGTTTTGAGAGTGAATAAAGTGTCCACTTTAACACATCTTTATGCACCAATTTGTTTAACCCTGGAGGGTAAGGATTTTGTGAATTGTAGTTAGTGATTTTTCTTTGGGATGAGTGTTAGCTTTGTTGATAGAATATATGTTAAGAGATTAACTGATAGTTCACATCTGAGTTGTGAGATCAGATTTCAATCTAATTATCCCACATTAAATTAGAAGAGAAAAGAATATTGGCACACAGAATCTATCAATTGGATCTAGAATCATGTTGTATTTGGTTAGGCTCTTTTCAGAGTAGGATTTATGCTTAGCAGAATTTGCACACTAAAGATTTAATTATCACGGGTATTAATTAGAGCATATTAATGTTCTTTGCCCATCCCCTTTCTCAATTAAGATTACGACTCGTTTATTTTAATAATGCAGATTTATAAGATTTGAAGATGTCTTAGGAACATTAAACCTATTACTTCGTATAAATGATTGCGCCCAATAAGGTGGAAAAGAGGACCCATGAAGTGACTTTTTCATATTGCAAGTAAAATGATGGATTCACATGTAAGCAGCAAGAACAATTGTGTGGTCAAACTCTCCCATCTTTTGATATTAAACCTGTTGGAGATTTGTCAAGTGATATCTTGAAACACTAGTTTGTTTGTTTGTTTTTTCTTGTGGTTGTGCATGTTGATAAATCACACATTAAAATGATAAAATTAATTTACATTTGATGTGCCTTTATCCCTTCCTAACATCACATTCATGCACAAAATTTTCAATATATACGTTTTAATATAATACTATATACAATTTTAAATATAATTCTTAACAGATTTAAATAATATCAGGATAAGGAATAATAATAGTCTAGTGTGCAAAAATTGACCAATAAAAATATAAAACGTCAACATTTTTTACTATCACTAGTGGGAAGGAAAAAATAAATTTTATTGATTCAAAAGTTCAAGATTATTATAGGACTTGAAATTATACAAAATACAATAAGGAATCATGAAAAACAGTACTAAATGTATAAATGTAGAACTTCCAAAATTAGAGCCTCTCCTGCAATAACTTAAGCTCAATACTGACAAGAAATCCCTGATCAATTCATGCTTCTATGTCTTTTCACTCAAACCAACAAAAGTAAAAAGGCATCAAATTGTACGTACGTCTGTACTCCCTTTTACTTGTTCACAACATTGGACTATATCTTAAAAAGGAACATAGATAAATACATACCTCACGTATATAGTACTAGTTTATGATATATATATATATATATATATATATATATATATATATATATATATATATATATATATATATATATATATATATATATATATATATATATATATATATATATATATATATATATATATAACTAACATTGTCCTTTAATCAAGAATATTAATAAGGATGTAGATTATACTATTAATACAATATTAGCTTATGCCAAAATTTTAACTATGAGAGGTTGGGACAGTGTAATAATAATCAATGTCGAACAAGTTAAATAGCTAAAGAACCATGCAATGTAATCAATTGAGGGCAATTCTTGAACATTTTGTTTTGATGGTGGTCCTGATGATGAAATGGTCTTACTCGAGGCTGGACAGTATCATATATATATGGATTTATCCTTTTCGATTTGTGGAGGAAGAGCATGCGCAATATACAAATAATCTCATAACGAGGTTCATTTCAACTAAACCACTAGGGTTATATGTAGAATTAGCATATAGTACGAATTAAACTAAGTATGTCTCCATTCTCCACACCTAATTTTCGCTAATTTTAGGCCTTATAAGCTTTGATAAGTTCAAACAATGTAAGTTAAGTGCTATTAGCTTTAGATAAAATAAATTCAAACTAAGGTTAATAAAGTTTAGATAAGTTTAGATAGAATAATTAAAGGTACAGTAGTAAGTTTTAATAAGATTATTTCAAGGATATATAATAAGTGTAGCTTATATAAGTTCAATAATGATATGTTCTAGCTAATAATTTGAGTTTAGGAATTACGAAGTACTAATAATTAACTTCAAGATTTCATTCTTACCATCTTATTTTCACTAGTTAGGCAATAAGATAAGTTCAATACTGATAATTTCAGATAATTAATAAGTTCGGACATATAAGCTTAATAACAATAACTTTAAAAAATTCTAATGTTATTATTAGTTGAGGGCAAATTAGTCTATCTAGATAAGATACGAAGTCAGTAATTTGGTTTTATCTTAAAATTGTTTGATAATAAGATAGACACTAAAGATTAGAAGTTCTTTTTAGCTACAACTTCCAAAGTGAGATAGCTTACTCATGTTTGTTTGAACACTTGACAATAGACATGTATTAATATCTAAGGATGATACATGGTAAAATCAAGATGTAAGTTTGAGGAAAGATAATCAACTGATTTATCCTACAAATTGATCTAATGAAAATTAATATGGGATAGAAGATGTTTGGGAACGATTCAACTATGAAACTTTAGATTAGAAAAGGCTTAGGAAAAAATTCTTAAGGAGAAATAGAAAGAAATAAATCTTGAGATCGGATGTATAGCGATAGGATTAATCAATTTAGATGGTAAGTTTGCAATTGGTCACTATACGTAATAAAATTACGTAGTAGGCAAAATTATATTCGTTGAAATGAAGGGTGTATTCTATTAACTTGGTTTATACTTATCTTTATATCCATCCGAACTTAGCAAACTTTTTAGGCATTATTGGAACTTAGTTTATTTGTAAATTGAACTTCAATAACCTAATTAACCCTTATCAACACTCATCTATTCTTGATATTAGTGAAAATAAGATGAACAGTAGAGGCAATCTTCAATTACCAAAGTGAATTCAATGCACTCAATATTTTGATGTCAAGATTAATATTATCGAACATAAAAAGACATAGTCCCTTGAAGATATTAGACATTAGTTCGATTCAACACCAGTAATTTTAACCCCCTCAAAGGAAAATTTTTAAATCAATTACAACTTTGTACACACTCATTAATAAATTTAATTAATCAGCTACTAATTGTATTTTACTCCAATAAAATAGCACTATTACCATTCATAAAACAATTTTTTTTTTTAAGAAACAATTCATAAAACATGTATGTTGGGTTTTAGGACTACACAAATGTAATTTTAGTTCTCCAATTGCACACGTGAAATTTTCTTGTAATGAGATTTATATGAGGATGACGTTATACTTGTATATAGGTTTTGCTATGCAATGCCTCGCCAAATCCCCCCTAATTTTGCTTGTTTTATTTGTTTCTTTAGGGACTTAGCCTCTCTTTTGCACTAAAAAAAAAAAAGAGAGAAAAGTTAAAAGTATAAGTTAAGGAATATTCCAATTTATTTTCTTCAATTTTAACCAAAAACAACAAATCATGTATGTAGTATACTAGCTTATGAGATGTTTAATTTGATTGATAATCATCTTATTGACTTATATCCACATAAAAAATTATTTTAATCTCTATGCAAAGAAAAAGATTAAGATCAAAATATAGGAATGAATTCCCTAAAAATAATACTATGTATATTAATTGATTCTTATAAATTTCTTCTTTTTCTAACCCATCGATCAAGAACATGATAATTAAGGATACTAATCAAAAGAATTAGATGAGAAGAAAACATTATATCTAGAAAAATGAAACATACTTGGTGCTTGCAAAGTCATAAAGTTTTCCGGTGCTAGAAAAGATAATTGCTCCAACTTCTGCATCGCACAAGACTGATAATTCTCGAGCTTTCTTAAGCAATCCACTTCTTCGTTTTGAGAAGGTTACTTGTCTACTCGTTGCATTGTCAATCCTTTTGATCACAATTTTTCCTCTCCCCATTTTGTCTATACAACATTTTCAATCACTTTAGGTCATAATCAAAAATAAAAGACGATATAATTAAGAAGATAAATACATACATGATACAACATAGAACTAAATTAAAGCAAAATTGAAGACTTATTATGCATGGAAATAAATTATAATCAATCCACTCACAAAAACATGAACCCCAATAGCATTGGAGCCATATTAATGATATAAATTACTTCATAATATTATTTCTTAATAACAATATGTAAAAGATCAGATCTCGCGGTAAAAATCATGAATTATTCACATGAATACCAACAAAATTTAATGATAAAGTTTAATTAATTTTTTTCTAATTAAAAAAAATTAAAGTTTTTTTTTTTAGATGAACATACTTGTATCATTTATCTAGTATAGAAAGGGGAGAGAAAGATTTATATTTATTTGATAGGAAATACAAAAACAAAAAAGTTTCTTTTAGAAGAAAAGATTGAAAGAGAGATTGACTTACTATAAGAGTTGATGAGCAGCTTTTGATAATGAGCAAGGACAAACTTATTAGAGAAGAAGCTATATTTGATAGACTTTTTTTTTCCTTTTTTTTTTCTTTTTTCTTTTCCTCTCTCTTTCAAAATTTATTGGAAATTTTGTTTCGAAAGTCGTTTAATTTTTAATTCATAGAGTTATATTATAAGACATCGTGTACGGATTAGTATTTAAAATAGAAATGTTTTTAAAATAGAAAGCTTCAATTACACTATAGACACTTTATTAATGCTAATATACTATAACTAACAATGATGATATTATAAATTCCTATGATATCAATAACAAAGCCAACTATGTAATTAATTAAAATTTAATTATAGTATTAGCATTATTTAATTAATTAAAAAACCTAAAACAAGGAGCGCTAAGTATGTTAATACTGCCCTTAAAAACTGCTTACCGGATTAGGAGACCCCCACTCGCGCGAGTGAGATAAATTAAGTCACTCGCGTTCGTATTTGTTGGACAAGTGTCGAGTGAATCAGCGACAAATCTTTACATGAGATATGCCACACCAATTACAACGGCTTAATTTTAATTGGACATTGCTATATTTGTTTATTTCTTGGTTTGTACTGTAATTAAATAGATTATCCCCAAAAGCTAATTAAATATGTTTTTCCTTGCAAGTAGGGGGACATAAGGGATCCCACTTGTTTGGGTTGAGAATTGAACCCCTCTCACAAGGGTGGAAGGAGGGCATTCAACCACTAGGCCAACCTTGATTCTCTATTAAAATATGTAATTAGTAGCTTGAATTCAGTCTCTTTAACAAGGGTGTGTAATTATGGATGAAGTATGATGCTTCAAGGAGATGGAGATGGAGAAGGAGAAGGATGAATAAAAACTTATTGCGAGCGGCGCTGTTTTTTCAAGAGAAAATGAGTAGCGTAGGGTTTGTTTGTTTTGTATTATTTCACTTATTTTATTTAAGGAAAAAAATTTATTTATAATTTAAGAAAATTAATTTCAAATAAAATAAAATAAAATAAAATAATAAGATTAATAAATTCAAATAAAATAAGTTTAGACCAAACGAACTATTAGAACCTTATTATTGTTAATTCATAAGGGGTAGTTTTAACGTTTAATTTTAGAGCCTTATTACTGCTAATTCATAAGGGATAGTTTTAACGTTTAAATATTTTGCAGTAAGTTATTGTAACTTTGCATCACCAGGCAATATACTTTTTGTTTGGGTCCAATTTAGTCCAATTGGGCCTAGGCATTAAATGATCCAATTAAAAGCCCAAGGTCAAGGTTCAACTCTCCAATTGTGCTAAAGTCAAAGGTCAGCCCACAAAGCAAGCCAATTGGGCTAAGGCCCAACCTCTCCATGTATGATGAGGTATAAAAGCCATCAATATTGATACATTCATAGGTTCATTCATATGTTCATTTATATGTTCATTGATATATTCTGATATATTCCATAAAAGCCTCAAGCAACAAACTCTCTTGCATAGTGTCCTCTTCTTACACATTGTACTGACTTTAGCATCGGAGGGGCCTTCCTCGGCAACACCCCCGAGGCTAGTTTACGTGTGTTTACTGTGCAGGAAACCTTCGGCCCAACATAACTTGGACCGAATCCAGCCTTCTCCGTTTCAGCGGACCTTCGACAAGGTCCCATTGTTTTCACCCGAAACAAGTTGGCGCCGTCTGTGGGGAAGACTTTCAAAAATCTTTAAGCCAAATTCCTAACCAAGATCATCTTGCAATTATCTTAGCAGCAATGGCTAAGAACCGCAAGAGCAAAAGCCTTCGTCAAGGAGCGGGCGAAAAGCCTAAAACCCCTACACCATCACCCTCGCCGGACCGGAACTCTCCCAAGGGTGCCGGCTCGGGGGGAGGATCATACAAGGAGGATTCCCTATCTCCCGTAATTCATGACTCTCATTATAGGCCGAGTTACTCTCGGTCTAGCAGGGGTGAGTCCGATCATAGGACACATTCAGTGTCCCAAAGCCAATCATCGGCTGCGCGCCCTCATTCCCACACTCGGCCGAGGACCCCTTTGACGGGGCCCAGCTCGGAAGAGGTGGCAAGAGCGCTGGCAGTACTCATGGAGGCGATGAGGGCACAAAATATGCCACCACCTCGTGATCGAACTCCTCCGCATACCCGGCATCAGCGGAGGAAGTTAGACCATGATGGTGGGAAGCTTCCTTCCTTCCGGGAATTGGAAGAGTGGGAGGAGGATTCCTGGAAAAATGAAAAACAGAGGAAAAAGAACCCTCAATTTTTAAAAGGATCCTCATCCTCAAGACCAGAAGCGCATAAGAGCAGCAGCTCAGCTTCTCGGCCAGAATCTACTCACCGAGGACCTGAGACTGTTCGCAGAAGCGTCCTTGACCGACTCGGCGGCAAGGAACCGAGCGTGCGCAGTCGCCTCTCGTTCCCTGCAGCCGAGGCCCAGACTTCCCAGCCAGGGACGAAAACCACTCCTACCTCTTTAAGAGGGCGGAGCGCGGTCCCTTCGGCCAGGAACAAGGGCAAGGCCGTTATGCTACCCGCCAGTTCACCATTCGAGCAATGGATACTGGAAGAGCGCGTACCCACGGTTAAAATACCGTCGCACATCACATATGACGGGACCACGGATCCGAAGGATCACGTGGCCTCGTATGAGACTCATATGCATCTTTGCCCCAGATCCGAGGCGACTTGGTGCAAATATTTCCCAACCACTCTCAAGGGGGTCGCGCAAGCGTGGATCTCCAAGGGAGTAAGGCAAGGCTCCATAACAGGGTGGGATGATCTGTCCTCCAAGTTCAGGAGCAAGTTTTCCACGGCAAACCGCCGAGAGAAGACTACTGCAGAGCTCATGAGTCTACAACAGGGTGAAACCGAAAGCCTCCGAGACTACCTGACCCGTTTCAGTAACGAGTCATCAAGCGTCTCCCAGCTGGACCAGGGGCTAGCCGTTTTCGCAATGCAGAATGGCCTTCAGCCCGGAAAGTTCCTAGACTTCATGGTCATGCATACCCCGCAGACCTTGGAGGAAGCTCTTAATGCTTCGGATAAGTTCATCCGAGCCGAAGAATGGAACAAAGCGAAAACCCAACCTCAATTCGGGGGAGGGAAACAAAGACAAATACCCTTGTCTGAAGGCCAAGGCCATAAGGCAAAGGGAAAGTCAAAGGCCCCGGAGCAATCTTTGGCCAGCGACCCAAAGAAGGAAAGATCTGCCTCATACACAGGCAGATACGAGTCCTACACTCCGCTCTCTCTTCCACGCGCCAAAATTTACAGCGTGACGAAGGAGGAGCAGAGTTACCGAAAGCCGAGACCACTCCCAGAGTGGTATCAGCGAAAAAATAAAAATCAGTGGTGCGAGTTCCACGAGTCTTCGGGACACAACACTGAGGAGTGTATCCAACTAAAGGACCAGATAGAGGACATGGTCCGGAAGGGATACTTGAAAAAATACATTGCGGATCACCGCGAGAAAAAAGAATCCGAGAAGTCAGCAAAGGACTCTCGGCAAGACCTCGACTTCCCCCGGAAAAACAGTAAAAAGCCGGAGGGGAAATTCCCTCTGATCAACGTTATCTCGGGAGGAATATACTCTCGGAGGGAGCACAAGCGACACCTTAGAGCTTTGACTCACCAGGTGAACAACGCTGACATTCAATCTCCCCAGTCGCCGGTGCCGAACATGACGTTCACAGCCGCCGACTGCCGGGGGATTACGTTCCCTCACGAGGATCCGTTGGTGATCATCGCCACGGTGGCCAACCACGACGTCAGTAAGGTCCTTGTTGACGGTGGCAGTGGAGCAAACATTCTGTTCCGAAAGGCCTACAATCAAATTAAGCTGAAGCCCAAGCACCTTACGCCGGTACCCTACCCGGTATCCGGGTTCAATGGGGCTTCAACTTATCCAGATGGGAAGGTGACACTTCCTGTCACCATCGGTTGCGATGAGGCAGCCCGGAACGTCATGATTGAATTTTTGGTCATCGACGCTCCTTCAGTGTACAACGTGATTTTGGGGAGACCCATAATTCACGAGATCCAAGGGGTCGTCTCAACTTATCATCAGCTGATGATTTACGTTTCAGACGCCGGCTTCCCCGAAAGGATACAGGGCAACCAAAAGGACGCCCGAAGGTGCAACTACCTCAAGCCATCCAGTAGTCGCCCAGATGACGACAAGGATGAGGAGGAGAAAGAAAAAGAAAGAGAGCCATGTACAAAAAAGCCAAAAGGCCTAAGTGCTTCGGCCTAAGGATCTGTGCCCAGAGAAAAAGGGCCCGAAAGGGAAAAGGCTAGCTCTTCAGCTCAGCCGCAAGACTCAGAGAGCCAGCCGAAGAACAAAAAGACTGGGACACCTGCTGACAGTGGCAGCAGGCCAGATTATGAAGAGTCCAGTCCCTCAGCAATGGACATGGACGACCAACAGACTGAAACAGTTGAGTTGGCCGAAGGAGACGTTGAGAAATGTGTAACAATCGGGATGGACCTTGATCCGAACACCCGTTGTGAACTTATTCAGCTCCTTCGGGACAACAGAGATGTGTTTGCTTTCTCGGCAGCTGATATGCCCGGGATAAGTTCAGACCTCATCTCCCATAAGCTTAATGTTGACCCGACGTGTCGACCAGTTAAGCAAAAGAAGCGGAATTACTCCGCCAATAAGAACCGAGACATCGCAGCCGAGGTCAAAAAATTATTGGAGGCAGGATTCATCGAACCTTGCCAATATCCAGAATGGCTGGCAAATGTGGTGATGGTTCAGAAGTCCAATGGTACCTGGAGGATGTGCGTTGACTTCACGGACCTAAATAAGGCTTGTCCAAAGGATTTCTATCCCTTGCCGAGGATCGATCAGCTAGTCGATTCGACAAGTGGCCATGCCTTGCTTAGTTTCATGGACGCATTCTCGGGGTATCATCAGATCTTTATGCACCCCGACGATCGAGCAAAGACAGCATTCGTCACGAACGCTGGGGTGTACAATTACAAAATGATGCCCTTCGGATTGAAAAATGCGGGGGCAACCTATCAAAGGCTGGTGGATCAAGTTTTCGCCGATCAAAAGGGCCGAAACATGGAAGTCTATGTTGACGATTCGATCGTCAAAAGCAAAAAACTAGAGGACCATGTAAAGGACCTGGCTGAAACTTTCGCCACCTTGAGAAAGCATCAAATGAAGCTGAATCCAAAGAAGTGTGTCTTCGGCGTGAAGTCAGGGAAATTCCTTGGGTTCATGGTCAGCAAAAGGGGGA